GACAGATCTTCTAAACTTTATTTTGGCCCTGCTATGATTTTAGTAACGGCCACTGTCAAATCCCTTCACTTTTCTACATTTCAGCTTTGCAACTTTGAAAACCCAGTGGTGGAAGTATGTTTTCCTACCCAGCAGAGGGAACTGCTTAACTCTCAAGGCAAGGAATTTCCAGACTGACTTTTGGTATTTCCAGTGACTCTTCCATTGGTAATGCTGGACATTCCAAATGGTGAATTAAATGTGAGGGCAGAGGGGGAATGAAGAGATGTGAGCAAGGAAGAGAGAGGGGCCCACGATATTGGCCAATTTCCCCCAATTTATTAGATCTTCATATTCAGATCATTTTTTCACATAGAACTGTCTGGTCCCATGCAGAGGGAGTAAACCCCTGCCACACACTGGGCCTGAACCACCCATCTTTTATTTTAGGTGGGGTTTAGCTTTTGTAGCTATATCAGTTCCTCCAGGCACTGGTGCTGCCGAGTGAACCATAGGCTTCCAATCCGATTCGGAAGTCTGGAAAAGAACTCCCATAAAGTTGGCAAAGAGAAGGGAGGTGACCCATTGAACGGGCCACAAAGACCTAAGAGTTGGAACTAGGATGGGACTGGTGGAAACAGAAAGGAAGGAATCTAGATCATGAGATTTAGCATTTATATATTCTTTCATTCCATAAACTATGTATATAAAGATGAAGATGCCATAGTACTTGCCTTCTAAGAAAGTCTTAAATATCATCTTAGACAAAACCTACAAGGGACAAAGCCTGAATGTATCACTTACTGTGTATATTTATAAATTATTTATATTCATAAAACTGAACCCTCTAGCCCAAAGGTACACAGTTATTTGGTGGCAGAGTCAGAATTTGGAATTTCCAGCACTTTTTTCCCCCCACTCTATAATACCACCATGAGATTCATCTGTTTAGCCATGCTTTCTTCTTGTAATCAGAAAGCTGCTCATAAACATGCCCTGGGTAGATTTGGCCCATTTAAATATTCTATCCGTTTTCCTAATAATCTACTATGGCATAAATCCTTTCAGGGTTAGGGGAGGATTTGACCCCTACGGTTACTACAATATGCCCGTAAAATTGGTAGATGGGGGTTTGGAGGCTGCCACTAGAGGGAGCGATTGTTCTGGAGAGTGTTCCTGTGCAGGGCTCTCTAGGAAGCATAAGACAAAGGAAAAGGCTTGCTGTGGAGACTGGGGTTTGCTTTAGTCTCTATCTAGCCTGACAATTAGGAAGAAAAATTCCTGGAAAAAACATTTTATTTGTATTTCAGGCATCTATTAACTTAACTTAATTTGCTAGTAGCTGATTTCTGTCAGCTTGAATTTAGCTTTCAAATATGACAGGCCCGTTTTAGAATGTGCAGGCACAGAAATGCAGTGCTGCTTTCCAAGCAAAACCAGAAAGATTCCTCTGGGGTTGTTTTGGAATTTAAGGAATCACAGGATGAGGGGACACAGAATGGGCGCAGTTGAGACCTACATAGCAAGTGGTACTGTGGTCA